GTTCAACCAGCCCGTTTACACTGGCTGTAGAAACAGAGATAAAAATGCAATCCATCACACTCGGAGCAGGACTCCCTCCTTGCTGAGGGCTCGAGGTTTAACTGTCTCACAGCCAAGCAAGACTTCTCCAGACAAATGCAAAGGATAAGAAATAAGGACTGGAAAAATCAACAAATTAGAAAGAGTGAAGCCAGGCATGGAAAACTCAATGACTTGCTCAGAGATTAGCTGCCCAACTTAAAGAAAATGAAAGGCTCTCCTGGACTGGAAAACAGCAGGTTTCCAAGTCATGCCAAGGCACTGGCACATCCCAAACCCAAGCTCCTGAACCCAAGAAGGGGAGATAATCAACTGGGTAGTGTGGAAAGCACTCCCAGAGCGCATCACCTGAAGCAGGAGTGGTGACACAAAGAAAAAGGGATAATCATTAATTTTAATCAGTGCCTGGAGCTGATAAACTGATGCTAAAAGCCACCCAGCATTAAGGTGCCTGCTCTGGCATCTCCCCCACGGTCATCTCACGCAGCTGTGCCCAGCACCTGCTGGTGGTTTGGGCTCTGGGGTCAGTGGTGCCTGGAGCAGGGCTGAATGTGGTGGTGGCAGTTCACACGGGCCACCTCATGACTGCATGTGGTGGCGTCGCTGAACACCTCCAGGCTGCTTCTCCAGTGTCCAGAGAGAAAACAGACGTGAAGGAACAGCTCAGGGCAGGGGGTGGGGAGGACATGTACAAATAAGCAAACAGCAGAAAACCTTGGAGAGAAAATAACCAGGCACCAGAAAGGAAATGAACTCTAACAAGGGATTAAAAATAGCAGCAAAGCAAGGAATCCAGCTCCTCTAAGGCTTCCGCTCATTTTCAAGCAGAGGTGGATTGGGTGGAGCCTCCAGGGTGGCCTGAAGATTCACACACACCTGACAGTGATGGGGCAAGTGAATCTGGACTGGCTCCCAGCATGGAGGACAGGAACTCTGGTCCAGCTAGTACCATTATCTGGTGCAGCCAACTTTGGAAGCTGCTTGTCAAGCACCACTCGTGCTCCGGGGTCATTTGGCAACCTGGGCGGCTCTGCAAGACAAGACAGAAGAGCTGCCTTTCCTTTCCAGCACTCAGGTGTGTTATTTTCTCCTAAATCCATATCAGCTCAGCAAACAGGAACATGAATTCCCTAGAGATCTGACCTTCTCCTCCTCCACAGCGGGAAGGCAGAATTTCAAATAGATTTACTGGTGCTGCCCTCCAGACGCTGTCTCAGGATGACCTGAAAGTTAAAGACTGCCTGAGGACTCCTCAAACATCAGCCCTGGCTTGGTGTGACAGGAGAAGCAGGCAGGGACTTCCTGCACGCCGACCTGGCAGACAACTAGCTTTGCACAAGGAGCAAGATGAGCCAGTGGGTGAAGGACAGTATTAGCCCAAGAGTTAAGGGAGGCTCAAAGTGGTCAAGAAAGCATCTGGGACAAAAGGGAATGGATGAGGCAGAGGGCTCCTTATGGCCTTTGCATAAGCAGATCTGCTTTTCCCATGCCAATGTCTGAAGGACTATTCCTATGAGTTTTCCAAAGGTCCTCTCCTCCAAGGAAGCTCCTGAGTCCCTGCAGGATCACAGAGGCCCCTTGGTGATTCACACTGGCTTGTCCTCAGAAGGAGCTGCCCCTGCACTGTATGACAGCAGAGGTTTTGTGGTTTTTCCCACTTCTGGCTGAGAAGAGTATCCCAAGCCCTTCAATGGCATCAGCTGAGCATCACAGACGCAATGTCATCCACTGGCTCTCCTGTAGGGCAGACAGACCACCGCAACCATGTCTCCTGGGCTTAGGGCAGCAGCATTCTCTGCCATGCCCAAGTGCTGCTCAAGCAGGGTGAATTATGGACCTGCAAACACTGGGTCTGCCAAAACCTCCTGCTCCTTACGCAAGGAACGAGGAGAATTCATTGATGATGCATGAAGGATACCTCTAAACCCCAAATCAGGGCCCACAGTCACTGTCCTGTCTTTAGGTTTCTAATTACAGATTTTAATGACCACTGTGTCTGGCCCTGCAGTGGTTTCCATCAGCCTCCTCTCCTTGGCCACAGACTGCTTTTGCCCTCAGGAAGAATCCAGTGTTTGCTCCCAAAGTCCAGATATCCCAACCAAGCTCAATGCATCTGAGACACAGCTTTCCTCCTGTACACCCCACACTGATCTGGCGTTTCTCTTCAAATCATTCCCTACCAGCATGAATCAAAATAACAGAGCAGATGATTGCCATCTCCCAAGTCTGCTGGAAGGCTTGGATCCTGCACACTGGCTGCTAATGGCTGCTGGATCCATGCTGTGAGAGCAGGAAATCCAGCACTGCTGTTAGGACTCATTGGTGCTTCTGAGTTCCCTCTCCTTCACATTGCTTGCTTTTGTCCCCCAAATCTCCCTCTCTGCCTACAATTCCCATTTTAGCTCTTTCTCGGCCTTACCCTCTCCTATATCTTCTGGTGCTCTCTGCAGTACTTTACTGCATCAAAGCAATCACTCTCTGGTCCTCATTCAAGCCTCAGGAGGACATATTCTTTCCAGGTTTCATGGTGGTAGAGCAAAGCTGCACCAATCCCATCTAAGCCCAGTATGTCCCACAACGGCTGGTGGCCCTAAGCCACTTTCTCACATTGCATTTACCCTGAGCCAGAGTGGCGCCACGGCAAGCCAATGCAAGCCCTGGGCAGATGGTCTCAGAAGAGCAGAGGGAGAAGGGTCCCAAGGTGGCCACCATCAGATGATCCTCACTCCACTGGAGTCCTGGCTGTTGGATCCAAGCTCTCCAGCTGCAGGTGCTGGCTGCCCTCAGCATTCACCCCACTGGGAAAGGCCAAGCAGCCAAGAGACACTTGTGCTGGTGCACTGACACCCTTGCAGCTTTGTTCTGTGCTGGGCTGACTTTATTCCCTTGGGGAGAGGACACAACAGCACTGAAAAGCACGCTGGGTCCCCTCACTCCAGCTGCCACTCCAGACACCAAGCGCGGAGGTGCCAGACATGTGAGACACTCTTGCTCTGAGCACACTGCCCTTTGCAGCCATCCACAGGAGCAGAAATGTGACCCACTTCAGCAGGCAGAGGTCAAGTGGGGAGCAGAGCAGCAGGCACACCTAGGTGCTCTGCTTGGGACTCAATCCTTCGAGAACACGCGAGCGCCTTGGCTGCGCTCCAAGACTCCATCATTACTGGATAGTTTGCATTTCTTTCTAGGAAGACAGCCGGGAAGATCGGCACACGGTGCACAGCCCACGGCTACAGACTCCTGCAAGGAACAAAGCTCTGATGCCTGTAGCCGAACACACCAGACAATGGTCAGTAATTTTCTCTGCCACTCAGGCTCTGCAGGAGGAGAAGGAGCATCCCTGAAAGCCTTATTTTACAAAACCAGACAATCCCCTTGTACAAGGGGCACTCCCCAGCAAGCCTGGTGCAGAATCAGCTCCTCCATCCCACAAGCTCACCATCAATTCAGAAGGAGCAGTCCTTTGGGTGATCAGAGGCAGGTGGGGAAGACCTGATGCTGACACAAAGGTCAACAGACCTCTCCTCAGAAGAAACAGGTGGGGGGTGTGGTGTATGGAAGTCTGGAGGCTGTTCTTGTTCCAAGGTGTAATAACCTCAGGTGTCCAATGTGCATACCAGATTACTGTTTGGGCTGCAGAGGCTGGCTTGCTAAAAGCCACCTCGACATCAATTCCAAGGTGAACTAAGGTGTGACCCCAAGGGTCTGAACTAGGCATGGCCAAAAAATGCACACAGAAGCCCATAGAGCTCTATATAAAGCATAGCTCAAACAATTACTAATCCCATGATCAGGGACCTACTATGAATGCATGAACCACAGCTGGGAAGGGCAAGGGCAAATTTGGATCCCCTTCAACTGAAAACCCCCAAACTGCTCTCCCATGCATGGCCTCACATGCCTGCAGCCCTTCCCCAGCCGGGGCTCAAGTAGCTCTGCGGCTGTGCTTCTGGCAGGATGAGGAGGACAAAGCTTGTAACACTGGCCAAAGCCCTGGACAGCATCATTCTGAACCTGAATGTGAGGTTTTTGGAGCCTTTCTTTTCACACGGTGCACTATCTATGGGTTATAGGTCACCTTAGATTAACTCTTCATTCTAAGGCTGATCAGTATCCTGCCCCAGGATGAGACAAGGCTGCTCTCTTGCTTGCAGAGGCCTTTACTCACTTGTGACCAGCTGGGCAGCCACAAGGGTGTCAGATAGGTGCACCTTCTGTAGGGTAAGCCAACACATCTCTGTTGGTTCAAAATTGCATGCTGGAGTGCATGAATTTGCATGAGTCTGAAGGGACTGAGAATTTTTGCTTTGTTTGTTTTTTTTTTAAACCACTTGTAAAAACAAGAGGCAGATATTGAACCAGAGCCAACATCTGTATCTTTGTAAGACTCTCAATCACCAGCCTTTTGCTGACTCTAGAGCAATACATATTCAGAGCCTTAAAAGCTTTTCTTCAATCTGCTTAGGAGAAAGCAGCCTCAAACAATGGCCAAGAAGGGATCTTGCCCAGCCTCAGCTACAGTAGATCAGCTCAGGGAGAAAATGGCCCTCACCAGATCCTTGCAGTCTCACAGCTCCTCATTCTTCTATAATGACAAAAACTGAGGACCCTCCGGTCCTCACCAATGCCAGTTATATAAGCACAACCACACACACAGCAGATGTGACCCAGCAGAGGAGACAGAGGCCCCTCCCAAGGTAGGAGCAGGAACAACCAAACAGAGGGAGGGGAAAACATCTAAGATCAGAGCTGCCATCAGGAGGTGAACCCCGGCCTCACCTCCACATGTGGATTCATCCAGTTTAGATGATATTTTAGGCTGCATATGGGGCTTTTCATCTTCAGAGCACTTAACAGGCATGTGTTAATCCCTGCAACGCCCTTCCGTGGCAGATAAGTGTTTATTATCTCTGCTCTACAGCTGGTGGGACAGGCACAGTGGGGAGCAGCTCATTGTTGCAGACCCTGGGCAACCTCATCTCCTGGGCTCCTTGGAAAGACACAGCAGGAGACCCCCAGGAGCCTGGGCCACCTCTTGAGCCAGTGGGCAAGTGGAGCAGGGCTGGGATGGGCACCATCCACAGGATTTCCAGGAGAGGAAGTCAAAAGCATCTTCCAAACACAAAGCCCCAGGACACATCTCTGCTGCCTTTGTGCAGTAGGTCAGAACAACAGCGTTCATTTATTATGGGCAAATTAACGCCCATGGAGATTAAAGCTTTATCTCCCGACGGCTCATCCGCATCTGACTTAGCAACGTGCAGGGCTGGGGCTGACACCATGTCCCCACGCGCTGGAGGAGCCACATCCCCACTGTACCTCCCACTCTGCAGGGGCCCAGCACCACATCCTTCTGTGCTGGGGACTAAATGGGCTGCCTTCCTCCATTCTTGGCTTCTCCATTCCACTTGAGCTGTGCCTTGTGCAGCACCAGCCTGTCTGCTCTGCCTTTTCCTGACTGTCGAAGCCAGTGTTTGACAGATAAACACATAGAGAAGAGCAGAGGGCAGGACAGGGACTCCCCTGTGATGTGGTCCCAACACCCATGCATTAATATCACTGTGACTGCCAGCTCTCCCTGTGCAGCAACAGACAAGTGGCAAAATGAAGACCATCACTGTCAGCATCAAAACCACCACCCCAGCCCCAAACACAGAGTGAACCAGTGCTGGGTCACCCAGCGAGGGAGGAATTACCGTGCACTTGGTTGATCTCTGAGTTGGATGACAGGATCTCATCAGCCAACTTCTGGGCGGTGGGCAGCACCTCAGTGTGGTGTGCTGTGATCAAATACTGAACAAACTTCTGGAGCTGGTCCCTGTTCATCTGGAAAAGGGTCTCTGAGATGGGAAGACGGAGTTTGACCTGGTCCGGCTTGCGGATCCTGTACAGTGAAAGCGCCACGACATGAGCGCAGTAAAAAATGTCCTTGTTCCCGCAGCCACACGTCACTGAGGTGATTTTGCAGCGGTCGAAGCTGATGGCCACCTTGTAGGTCATCTCTGGTTCTGTTGCAGTCGCTGGCTCCGTTACTGTCCCGCTGAGGTGGAACCCTAGAGAGGGAAAGGGAGAAGAAAGAATGGCCAGGTTAGCTTCCCTCTGATAGCAACAACCCATGCAAATTCTGGAAGGAAGCAAGACCAGCCAAGGCTGCTTGTGCATCTCCATGCCAAGGAGTGCAGCACCCAGCACACCCCATCCCAGTGGCTTACACCCAGCAACACCCAGCCCATGTGTACAAACACACTTATTGCACCAACACACACGTGCAGCCAGGCTCATCGGCGAGTTTATTTAACAGTCAAACCCTCAGGGGAAGAGCAAAGCTGCTCAGTTCCAATTTGTTTAAGAGTCTTTCAGACTGTTTCTCTCCTGGGAGTCATTTCTATCCACGCCTCCCTCTCACTGAATTTGCAACTCGCATGAGTGAGGGCTGGTAGAAAAAGGCCACATTTGCTTTTCTTTGATGAGGCAGACAAAAAAACCCACAAACTAAATGCAAAGCAACTCCAACTTCGGTCCCTCAACCAAGCAGAGTTCTCCAAGGCAAGGCTGTAGCTCTGAGCTCTTCCACACAACAGAAACAAGGAGCAGGGACAGGAGCAATTCACAACCCAAACCACAAGCTGGGGGAAAACTGTTCCTTGAGCTCCACAAATCGCTCACACCAATGTTATGGTGCTCCTAACAGCCCCCACCATGCTGCAAGGGGGTGAGGCATCTTTGGGCACGAAGTGTGAAAAAAAAAAGCCCCAAAAAGTCTCAATTGTGGTGAAGAGTGGGAAAATGGGCTTGGAAAGTGCTTTGGATCCAAGGAAGGTGGACGTACCAAGCGAGGGACAGAGTCAGAGTGAGAAAAGACTGGAGGCCCATCAGCCTCAACCTGAAAGCCCAGAAAGCCCTTCTCAGGGTCCAGCTGCTGAGTGGGTCCAACACCAACACTCTGCACTTGCCCAGCCACTTGGAAAAGGGACAACTTTATTTCCCCCATTCATCTGCCTCGTTCCTCCAAGGAGAATGATGTAGTACCAGGAGGTTAATGAACATGGCCAGGGCCACCCAGTACCCCCATGTCAGAATCTGGAGTGGGCTGTACCACCCATCCCAGCCTTTCTCCCTGAAGAGGATGTTCACTTTTCTCCATGGCACTGCAACCTTATTAAGCCAGTGTATGTACAGGTCCCTGCAGAGCCTGCCATCCCCCCAGAGAAGGCAGCAGACAGATGAGAGCCCTACAATTAGCGACAGAAAAGGAGAAGGGAGGGGGGCAAAGATTAAAATACATTAACTGCATCAAACCCTTGTGCGTTTGCCAGCTCTTACAAAGGCTTTCCGAGACAAATTCTACCAGAGGTTTTTAATAAATGGCATCAAAACCAGCTATTCACTGCCAGTCTCTTTAAAGCCACGCCAAAAACCACATTCAAATCTGATTAAGCGTCAAGGAGGTCTGCTTTTACTTTAGTGCAGGGGAAGGGGAAAAGCAGAGCTGTTCTGCTGCCATCACCCAAAACCCACCCTACGTGGCCAGCAGACTAGGAGGGGAGGGACGGACAACCCTGCACTACCCTCTTGCTCACACACTGCTGAGAGTGGCAGCTCAGCTGCAGAGGTGCTGGGCTCAGTGCTGTGGGAGCAGAAAGGCCAGGGGCTGACGAGCCTCTCCTTCCACACAAGTCCATCCCCCAGCAGCCAAACTATATAAATCCTGAGGATAAACTCCAAAGTGTTTATGTTTTATCACTTCTCTGGTTTGCAATGCTTGGCAGGCAGCTCCGACTCACTGCCAGTTTCTCCCTAGTTTACTTTTTGAACAAGTTAAAAGGATTGGGAACCACGTTCCTGAGCAAGAATGTATGTATATCCTCATACGTACACCCGCAGGCACATACACACATATATATAAAACAGTCTAGGACAAATTACTGGCCATAAACACTGCTTTGAAATGCTTACTTTAGCAGAACCATGGGCCAGACCCCACTTGGGGCTAACTGGTGTAAGGCTGGAGAAACTCATTTAACCAAATGACCTGTTTCAGACAAGTCTGAAAATACATCAGCTGTGGCCTGATCCAGCCCTCTGAGAGAGAAAATTTGTCCAGGTACTTCCCAGGCTGTTCTCAGGCATCCCAAAAGCTGTGCTCTCCCATCTGCTGCAAAAGCCAGTCCTCACAACTCATAGTTGGGGTCTATACATCGAACAGGACCCTTTGGTATGTCAACAACCACCCAGTTCATCTGGCACTGGAGCCCCAAGTCAAGTGCTGGCTTAGATTTAGCCATGGTGGCAGCAGGTCTATTTAAGATAAACTAGGAACTCTATACAAAATATTTATCAAATTTTAGTCAGAAATTAAACATGGTAGAGAGGGAGAGAGAGGAGCTGGTGGGAACAGACATATTATTTGGGAATTTTTACATTAATGGAAGGTCAGACTGTAGCTACCACACTGCGTCCTGCACTGTGGCCAGGTCTGCACCCCAGCACCCATGTGTGCTGAGCACACCAGCTCAGCAGTGATGGGTATCGCCATCCCAGAGAAGAGTGGTGGCTAAAGGGTAGGTTATGATGTGGTTATTCCATTATCCATTGAAGCACACACTCCTGGCTCATGCAAAACCCTGATGCTACCACCACCAAAATGCTACAGGTTATCCTGGAGAAGGAGAGCTGTCACTGCACCCTCCTCTGTTCATCACACATCCTAGAGGCGAGAAGCATCCTAGGGGCTGTGATACCAGCACTTCAGTAGAGAGGAACACAGCCCTGGTCAAACACAGGGTCTGGATAGCACTGAGAGTAAAGACATACTCTCTGCTGCGTCCTCCCTGTACGTTTCAATTTAAGACATTCCTACAGCTGAGTGCTTATCTAGGACTTCATCTTCTGTTCTTAACATAAGCTAACTTGGTGTTTGATTTGCTGCCAGGAAAGTGACAGTGCCAAGGTTTGAAAACCATGGAAAAGAAATAATTAAATACCATCTTTGTAACTACAGACTCATTACGACCCACCAGAGCCTTGCTTTGTCCCAAGAACAACGTCGCCTTCTCCCTGCCCCAGAACAGCCTCCCCTACTTCTACCACAGAAGCTTCCCAGTGGATGTCTCTTTGATTGAGGTTGCAAAAGGAGCTGAATGTTCGTAACTGCCCCAGAAAGAGCACGGAAAGGTGCCATGAATGTTCACAGGCACAATGAGCACATCTCCTTCATAATCCCATCCATCTGACCCATCAAATGAGGACAAAACACCAAAGCAAGGACCTTCTTTGCGTTACTGCCACAGGACATTGCACCTCTGATTTAAATTAAAAAAGACCCTAGAATTGTTAGCCAGGCAATGCTCTCCTCTTTGGAGCTGATAAACCCTGGAGGCTGAGAGGTGGATGGATCCACAAAACACCCCTGGGCTCTGAAACAGCTATAAAGCATAAAGCCTTTAGCAGGGGCCCCACTGCAGGAGACTTTGCTATTAGGACAAAAGCATTAAGGCCTCAACAGAAGCATCTTTAACCAAGATGGAGAATTCTTTAATCTCTAAACCTACTCAACCAAAAGGAGTTTTGCAAACTTCCAGTTCTGTAAGAGCAGATGCTCTTTCAGCTGGGCATCTTTAACCTGAATGTCCACAAGCCAACAATCAGGAGCAACTATTAGCCTGTTCTGTAGCTCCAACCCACCACGAGGCTGGCTGTAAAGACCCCTCATCTTGTATCCTCCAGCAAATTACTGAAGGTAAAGCCAACATTGAAGCTGGTTACATCGAAATACATGAAGTTTGAAGACAGGCAGACCCCCAGGTGGAAATTTTAACCCCAGAAACAAGCAAAATCCAGGCATAATCCCTTCCCTTCTCATAACTGTGGTATCAAGAGCCCTCCAACACCTGCAAGGAAGAGGAGGGAGAGGAGGAATCCACAGCTACCACACTAGCTGGGAACCAAAGCGCTCAGCTCTGCTCCCTCTGGCAGTTGCTGCTCACAGCCATCCCTCAGATTTCACACCGCAGCCCAGACAGAAGTCACAGTTGTCATTCACAAAGTTGTGCCATTTGGAAAAAATGAGCTCGCTCTTCCCAGGTGTGGCAGCCGCTTGCCTTCCACACGGCGTTGGCACAGTCCTGCTGGGGTGGAAGCCATCGCAGAACAGCAGTCATCTATAGGACCTAACCCTGAGGATGCTGCACTGACACTGCTGTGCAAGAGGATGGGGACCAGTAACACACAGGTAATGTGGGGAGCATATCTTCATGTCACTGTGGCTCCTCTGTCTCCTTCACAGGCTTTTCTTGGTCTTTGTGGAAACCTCAAAGCATGACAAGGAATGGCTCTGCAGAGAAAGATGTGCACCACAGCCACACTCCAAGCAAGACTGCCAGTGAGATGAGGCCAGACAACTGTACATAAAGAACTCATCCCCACACCTGGCTGTCAAAACCTCAAGTGACTTCCTAGCACCTGAGGCTGGTATTTTGGGCAGTCTCCATTGGGAGCAATGTGACGGAAAGTCCATCCACACAGCTTCCTGAAGGCACCAGCTGCATCCCCTTGCATCCTAGCCAGAAACAGGTGGTTGTGGTGGACAGCAGCTTGGCTCCTCACTGCTCTCGTACTCCGTGCTCAGCATCAAGTACCCCACCTCTAGCCAGACTAACCCCATTTCCAATCCGTGTTTGGGCAGCTCTGCCTTCAGGCAGGCAGGGGCTCTGCAAAACCAAATGGGAACAAATACATGAGTATTTATGGGGCTCAGCAGATGCAGACGAGGTAAACTGAAATTCTCAGTGCAAGTTGTATACACTAGGTCAACATGACCCAAATATATTTTTTTAAAATTTCCAAACCACAGTGGAAAGTTATTTTAAACTAAAGTGATTCCAAGCTCTTTAGTGATTAAACGGACTGCAGCTCCAGCTCCTAGTGGAAAAACCATTTGTTTTTCCACTGTGTGAAAGCCATAACTAGCAATGAATAATAATTGCTACACCGAGTGTTATTTATAAGCCATTCTCGGTCACATTTCCGTGCCTCGAAACAGCAGCTTTCTAAA